GTGATTATCATCAAACTACTTTGATAGCATCTCTTTCAAATAGACGGGAAAATACAGAGAGATATAACTATACCTACGAGTTCTATCTCATACCAAGATTTGTAAATATTTTAGGAACAATATAGTTATTTAACTGTGATATCTCATCACCAGACCATAGAGCATTTAAATAAAGAGATGGCACACATTTATCAAACTGAATGCTATACAGAAACTTAGAAACGTATAATACAATGTAGTCACATAATTCTTCTCTTTAATAAGCACGCATTTTGAGCATTTTTCAAATGTTCTGAAGCAAAGATTGTTATCGCTAAAAATTGCTACAGGTAAGAAAATTGCTAACTTCAATATTATCGCGGGAATGAGTAGGGTTAGTAAATATAATAATAATAAATATTCCGATTTATTTTATTTTTCGCTGTTAGCGTCTATTTCAGCGTATTTATTTATGGTTTTATGTTGAAAAAGAATGCAAAGTATGTGTGTGATTATATTTCTGTATGACATGCAGTATGATTTTCACTTAAAAACAGGTTTTATATTACAAGTGACGAATAGTATGAGGAATTCAGGTAATTCGTATATATTTGAGAAATATTAAAGTTGTTTTTGAATTAATACATTAGTTAAGTTGTTGTTTAAAGTTAAGCACAAAGCTACACACTGGGCTAACTGTGTTCTGTCCACCACGAGTATCGAAACCCGATTTCTAGTGTTGTAAGTCCGCAGACATCCCGCAGTGCCACTGGGAGGATTATTATTTTTCTAACAATAATCTTAACAGCTCTTAATTATTCTTCATAATATCATAACGTGGGTACCTGATGATGACAAAACCTTGTCGAAACGTTGTACATTTGCTGTCATGTTAAACTTATATTAAAGTTTTTCTTCATTACCCATTTAAGCCGTCTCCAGCCATTATAACGTGTTTTTGTAAATATTTATTTTTTGGTCAAATCAGACGATACTTTTAAAATCATGACCGACATGTATAAATTATAATTTCGTTTTACTTAATTAATGTCCCCATATCAAAGTATTCATATATTATAAGCCAATTGTACAATGTTTGTTGTTAAGCAAAACCCTACTTAATGGGCTATCCGTCCTCCTAGGGTATCAAAAACTGGGATAATTAGTATGAATCTTAAGTAATGTGAATTTATACACACACACCTGGTTAAGAAATCAAATGTTTATTTATATACCCTGATATAAATGGAATATCCTTTTAGAGCATAATGTGTTTTTCATAATTCAAACAATAAATAGAAGAGTTCATAAGCCATTAATTTTCTTGGCTACTTTATTGATAAAAAAGGTATACCATAATATTTCCATATCAAAGTATTCAAAAAAAGGTATACCATAATATTTTCATTTTATAAATATGAACTTGTTTATCTCATTATCTACAGGTAAGCTCAAAGTTTGTTAGGATTCGAATCCTAGGATCCAATCCCAATGATTATGTTTCCGTTGTGAGTGACATACATTTTACCGTTCAACCACACCATTTTGTGAAAAGCAGAATGTTCATACGCTGTACCAGTTACTTCAATGAACTAGAATATAGCCGTGTTATCGATATTACAGACAAGGACAACAAAAACAATTGGATTGACAGCGCAAAACGTAGTACGTAAAAGTGTTTGAATTTTATTTTAGTTTGGATTAATTTAAGGTGAACATTTCGTGGGTATTTTAGTGAAACAAACGAAACTTTGAATATTTAAAGATGTATAACCACAACTAAATAAGGTCTTTGAAGCGTACCTAAAAAATGCGCAGATACGTTGTTCTCAAGGCTGTATTTTCACTTATTTAGTTACCAAAATAATTTGGCTAAATCTGCAAGCCGAGTTATCTGTTGTTCAAACATATAGATAAAACAGTGCAATAGTTAGGATGTTTTGAACATCTTCATTCATAGAATGCTATATGTTTTTTTCCCATAATAATGTCCGTTACATTGCGGATTCTTAAGTTCATACTGACATCTGTTGTACCTTGAAAGATAACGCTTTCTCAGATTGTAACTCCTAAGTATATTATTCCAGTTAGCGTTTCTCAACAACACCTGGTTAGTTACTTAAACTGTTGTCTGAGTCGAAAAGGAAGATCATAAATTACTTTGTTCAGAATAGAACCATAATATCATCTGACTAGAACACCTACCCTCAGATTCAACACTGTTATTTATAGCTTTTGTATTGAGTTAACGACTTGTTTAGAAAGTCGATAGTGTTTATGATGTACGATAAGTGGAAACTTTCAGGATCTAGAATTGTGTCAACACAGATATATGTAGTTTTGTCCAGTTGAGGCCCAGTATTATCGCCACTTAATTAATTCACAGCTTCAATCATAGTATACATATATATATATATACTGTGAGTGAGTTTATATATATATATATATATATATATATATGTGTGTGTGTGTGTGTGTG